AACTGGATTTGTGAAGGTCTTTATTTCCTCCTCGGTAGCCCCAGCTGGTGAGTGGCAACACCACCATCTCCGTACACCTGTACTGATGTCACCCGACTCACCCTGACCTTTGCTTGGCCTTAAGAGAAGATATAGATGGCTGATTTCAACCCGAAGATGAGCCGCCACGATAAAGGGCAATGAGATAAACGTGTGAGAGTCTCTCTTGCTAACTCTTCTTGAAACTACTTCGAGCCTAACTGGAAACCCGGAGTGGTGGTGCAGACAGCGAAATCCCACACCCACCGTCTGGAGCCTGGTGACAACTGTCGGTGCTTTTGGGTGGCAGTGATGAGCAGGGGCTGTGCTGGTGTGCCAGGGCCTGGGCACGCGTGCTGCCCCAGCCCCGAAGGAGGGACCAGCCCGCTCAGCTTCCACCGAGGTGTGTGCCGCAGCGTCCCTTCTTTTGGCAGCAGCAGGTTCCTTGGCCATCACTCTTGGTCCATCCCAGAAGCAGGACCCACAGCTGGACACCATCCCCCGTGGCTGCTCATACAGCCCCCCTCCAAAGGCTGCTCTCCCATCGCCCAGGGTTTGTCTTCAGCTTTGGAGAATTGTTGCAGGGGGGCTGCAAAGGGCATCCTCATCAACACCTACAAATATCATCAACACCTACAAATATCATCAACACCTACAAGTATCTCAAGGGTGGGTGTCATGAGGACGGAGCCAGACTCTTCCCAGTGGTGCCCAGCGCCAGGACAAGGGGCCATGGGCACAAACTGAAGCAGAAGAGGTTCCAGTTGAACGTGAGGAAGAACTTCTTGGCTTTGAGGGTGCCCGAGTCCTGGCCCAGGCTGCCCAGGGGGGCTGTGGAGTCTCCTCCTCTAGAGATATTCAACCCCCACCTGGACGCTGTCCTGTGTAACATGCTCTAAGAGAACCTGCTTTAGCAGGAGGGTTGGACTGGATGGTCTCCAGAGGTCCCTTCAAACCCTTGCTGTTCTGTGATTCTGCGATCCCTGGGCTCTGAAGGCTGTATTTGGTACCTCCAGGCACAGAAGATGCCTGGGCCCAAGCAAAATGACAAAAGCAGCCTGCAGCCTCCTTCCTTGGGGTTTCTCACCCTGCGGGGCTGGCCTCTAAACTTTGTTTAAGGTCTTCTGGGAGGGTTCAGGACCATTGCCCTCTTACGCATTTGGGTTATGACTGAAGTCCTTGATGCCTCTTCCCTTGTTACGCCCTGTGCTGTTGTGGGACCCCTGACTTTGCCCTCGCTCCTGCGATGCTGGCACTGGGCTGGCGGTGTTTTAGCCACGTCCTAGGGAGCCTCCTGCCACGGCTTGGGCCCAGGCTTGCAGAGCCTTTGGGCAGGTTCCTCTCCACACCACGAATCCGGAGCACTCTGGGACAGAGCTGGTCAGGAGGGGCTGACCTGCGCCTCCAGGGAGCCCCAGCTGAGCTGATGCTCGCGCAGCCCTGGCTTTCCCCTGTGGTGCAAGGCTGGGCACCCGGAGTGAAACGCAGCCCCCTGCCTGATAGGCGCGCTCTCATAATTGCAGATGAAAGCTCTTGGGTATCCAGTTGCATCCCGCGCTGCTGTAGACACCAAAGGATGCATTTTGTGCCAACGGTTGTGCCTTGTTTTGGAGCTGAAGCTGCAGAATTCAACTTGAATTTAGATTTAGGGTAACCTTTTAGCATCCTCATCCACCACGTAATCCATGTACGTGTGTGCTATGACGTAGCCGCCCAACACTTCACCCAAAATCAAGGGACTGTACGTGTGACCTGCTGACTCTGAAGGAATATGTGAAAGATTCACCACAACATTTTTAATTTTTGGTAGTTAGTAGGAAAATAAACCCTCTCTCCTCACCCCACCTTGTTATTTTTAGTAGCAAACTTCCTGCTAAGGAAAAAAAAAAAAAAATTTCTCACTATCAAGGGGATTGGTTTTGATCAAAAGGCTGGCTCTGCTCCAGGTAGATGATCAGTTTTGCTACTACCTGAGAGATGAATCACAAAGATCTCTGTTTCCAAGCCCGTCAAGGCAAGAAGTAGCTGCTGTGCTTGCAAGGAGGGAGGGGAGGCCGGGGGAGCTGGCAGCGCTGCATCTCCCCCCTCCTCGGGCCGGGGCTGCAGCGGCGCTTTGCTGCGCTCCCACGGTGTTGGTCAATCCTGGACAGCCCCCGGAGGACAAACTGTGCTCCGGGCCCTCGCGGATGTGCGGGACAGGAAGGCGCGTTGTGCAATTGAGACCAGTGGAGCCCTAAGCAGCTGTGCATCGCTGCTGGCTCACTCGTGCCCCAAGTTTTCTAATGACAAGGGTTATGATTGCAAGTGGATGCTTTTCCATGCAGGGGCTGTTGGTACTTGCAGGCCTTCTCAAAATCCAATGGAAGCCAACTGCAATTTGATTTAGGTTGCATTTCTGCCCTAGGTTGGTTGCATTTCTGCCCTAGCTTGGTTGCATTTCTGCCCTAGCTTGGTTTATACCCAGGTACAGCTGATGGTAAGCTATACAATCTAAACCAGCAAAACTTTCTGTGAAAAATCAGATGATGGTGGTATTTTTCTAAGAATTGGGATTGGGCATGTCAGAAGGCTGTCAGGATTTCCCGCAGCGGAGCTTGGCATGAAGTGGGCTGGCACAGCTAAACTGCGTAATGTTTGGAAACGCCAGATTAGCGAAGGACCTGTTAGCATCAGGCTTGCTTGAACCTGGGCTTAGAGGGCTCCTGCTGAGGGCTTGCTGGAGCTGACTGTAAAATGACAGGCAGTGGTGGCTGGCAGTTTAAACCCAGCTCTAAAAGTGAGGTGCCCAGGAACAAAAGGTGTTTTTCACTAATGGTAAGGCACTCTCCAGAAATTGTCCTGTTAGGTTAGGCTAGGCCCACAGGAATCCTGCTCTAGGCTTTTGCAGCACCTTTTCCAAGCAGGGAAGGCAAAGCTCTTCCGCGCTGCTCCAAAAATCTGAGCAACTCTGGCTGACCCCGCAGTGGGAAGCTGCAAGCAGGTTAGAGAGAGGGTGTGCAAGATGTGCCGATGGCAGCAGCTGGGGTCAGCGTTGCAACAGCTTCAGGAAATGAAGTTTCAGCTTAGGGAAAAAGAAATTTGGCATTGCTGCCAGGAAAGGAACCTCGCAGTCCAGCTCCATTGTCTGGAGCAAAGAAGAATATTTTGTTGCTTCAGGGTGTGATGAAATGGTGGAGACACCCTGCCAAGAGGCAAAGGGCAACAGATCGCAGAAGGCAGAGGTGGAAAATGAGAACTGGATTAAAGCACTGAATTGCCATCGCTCTCCAACTGAGGATTTCTACCTACACCGTGGGCTGGGACCTCCAGCTCCTTCTCCATCAGAAGGTCAGGGAAGCACTCCGATGTGAGCATCCGAGGGCCTGGCATGGATGGGAACCGATTCAACAAATCCCCTTCCTTCCTCTGCATCATCATCTAACCAGTCCCAAGAGTGAGTCGGTGCGTCTGTACCGTGCTCTCTTACAGATTAATAGATTGCCAGTAGGGATAGGACCCAAAAATGTCACGGGGTCCATGCGTCTGTGCAGCATCACGTCGTCAGTCTGCTGCTTCACACTCGGCAGGCGCCCTGTGAACCACTCTGGGGCTGAGTTTCAATATCAGGAGCTGAATCCTCCCCAGAGCCCCAGGACGTGTCAGGATAAAGCGATTTAGCGCAAAGGGGAAAGCAAGCGGCTGCTGTTCCTGTTAGGTGGCTGCTTCTCCAGCCTGCCCGCGGGTCTCTGTATTGCTGAGGGTAACCAGTCCCCAGTCATTGTGAAACCGCTCGCATGCGGAGGAGACGCAGGCGGAAGGTGCTCGGCTCAGCTCCTCGGCAGGCGGTGGGGGGTTCGGCCGGCGGCAGAGCCCGGCGTGCCGCATGGGAGAGGGAGCTTTGCCGAAACCAGGCACCTTTCTGAGAACCAGCCCCTTCACTCCCAAATGTCTCCACAACCCCGCACAACCTCCATTCACCAGCTGCAACCGGGGGGAATCGCTTGGCTTTGCTTACCCCAGAAGCCCGTTTGTTTTTAATTCACTTTTTTAATTCAGTTTTCTTTTTAATTCACTTTCTGCTCTAAGCAGTGCCTGTGGCAGCAGCAGAAGTGGTGCGATGCTTCCGCCGGGTTTGTGAGCCAGGGCTGAATCCCCTCCACCCACCTTGAACGCGTCCCCCTGGGCCACCTATCTCCACCGGCCATGTACGTAACCCGGGGGGTTCAGCGACGGGGCGTGAGGGTGCAGCCAGGGGCTGCTCGGCTCTGGTTTCCCATCCCTGTCCTGGTGTGCACCTGGAGCGGGAGGTGGGTGGCTCCTGAAGCTCTGCACCGGAATGTGGGACCCTTACTGGCAAACAGCAAGGGTGGTGAAGCAGGGTGGAATGGCTGGGTACAGAGCCTTCCCGACAATCGGTATGCTTGTTCGTTGTTAAGGGCTTTTTTGGGGGGGTGGGGGGTGGTGTCAACCTACACTTCTTTTTTTTCCATTGCCTTGCATCTTCCCATGCTGTTGGAGAGTAGGTGAGTTTGTGACGGGAGCCTGTGGAGCTCAGAAAAGGACGAGGACAAACTCTGCTGCGTGGTGTTAGAGGAGAAGAGAAACGTTGGTGTTGGGGCAGATGGTGAAATGCCCTCAGACTTGAAAACCTGCAGAAAACTGATGGTTGGGCTTTTGCAGGGGACAAAGTGACAGCCGGACAGTTGTTTGGCTTCCTAGAGGAGCAAGGCTTGTTCCTCTCTAACCTGTAGCTTTCGGGGTTCCCACCCTGCAGCGCTCTGGGCTCTGTCCCCAGAGAGGGGCGCAGGCAGGACCAACGCTGCCAGCACCTCCAGCTATTGCTGCTCCTTGAAAGCAAGAGCATTTGCTCAGCAGCCTCACGTGCAACCCCTGTGGTGGCTCTGCTTACCACCCCCACCCATGCTCAGACCGAAAATGCTGCTGGCAATGCTGGGAGTGGGATGGGGCAGCCCCCGCCACCCCACGTGTGCCAGACCCCATACCACGGGGGGAAACGTGCGCGCCCCTGCACACCTCTCGCTATGAGACAGCCGGAGCTGCTGCTCCTCCGCTTAACGGGTAAAGCCAGAGCACAGATGAATCGGCGTCGGGCTTAGATTTCACTTGCTGAGCTACTGAAAGTGGAGCCCCACGGGGAGGGGGAGGATCGCTGCCTGCAGGTGGGATGCTCTGGGTCCCTGGGCTTGAAGGGATGCTTGGGGCTGGTGTCCTGCCCTCCGGCCGTGCCCGTGGGGCCATGGGATGCTGGCCCCAGGGGATGGAGATGAGCCCTTCCCAGAAACCAAGCCCCCGAGCAGCAAAATTGCAGCTGTGGGGGTGCCAGTGGCATTGCACTCCTGGCTTTAGTAATCCTATGCCCTCCTGGAGCCGGTATTAGTCAGGCTCTCGTCACCCAGGCACAGGTGAGATAAGAAAGTGGCAGCCTGCGAAGCCGTGGCCGGTGAAGCCGTGGCCGCTTCCCCCCGCTCCCCTTGGGTAACACGTGCGCCCAGCCGGGGCATGCCGCCCTGTTTTTGCTGCTCTACCTGACCTTTTTCATGACAAAAGCCCCAATTTCAGTCACGTGCTGCTAAAATCTAGGACGCAGAGAGGCACGAGCTGTGTGGGGTGAGCGGTACAGCCGGTTCAAATTAAATAACAAGTGTTAACTATAACCACAACCGAAATCAGGAAAGTTCTGAAAGCTTTTGCAATTTAAATATAGTTAAAACGGAGTTTACTTGTTTTGATTTTGCCCCTTTAGTGCTTGAGGTCCCTTGTACTGCTAAAAGCCAGGTCCCTGGTCCTCGTGGCACCCTGGGAGGCTGAAGGGTCCCAGGGAAGGCGCTCATCTTCCTCATGCCAAGAGACATTTTTTTTTTCCTATGACAAGAAAGAGGCCAGTGGGGTTTTGTTTCTCATGCCCAGCCCACGAGAGGAGACGTCTGTGCCTGCCCTGCTGCGTTCAGGAGCCACTTTCACCCGTTCAGCTGGGATCAGCTCATCTGCCCTCCCCGTGTTGGCCAACAGGAGATGACTGAGAACTTTCTTAGCAGCCAGTACACGCTGTCCAGCGCCAGGGTGCTTCTGGCTTTCAGGAAAGTTTCTAAAGAGAAAAAAGAAAAAGCAGAAGAAATGGCCCCCTTGGGCAGCAGATGCTCTCATGTGTTGCCGCTCTTGGCGTGTTCCTGATTTGAAGTGAAACTTGCTTACGTACCAGGGGGCAGCTGATGCTCGGGCACTTCGGGAGCCTTCAGGAGCTTTGTCCATGTGCACAAGTTGCAGCAAGTAAATTAAAGCACTTGTGAAATGATTAACTTTTGCTGTGCAAACCCAGCATCCATGCTCTCTTTTCCTCCGGCTGGGCATTGCATCTTCCTGCGAGCTGGGATTCTCTCTGATGGAAGGAGAAAAAAAAAAAGAAAAAAAAATTTACAACGGGAGAACTGACTCCCCAACAAAACAGGTCCACCCGTCAATCCTTTTTTTAGCTCTTTCTGCGCTTTCATGTGCTAATCTATAACCTCCTTCTACTGTCTGACCTCACAGGGACCGCCTGGGTCACAGCCCTCGCCACACGCACAGCCTCCACCCCACAATCCTAACAGCATGATGGGACCCCACAGTCAGGTAAAGACACTAGCGATGGGTAGGGCTGTGAACCGGGACGTGCGCTCGATTTGCTTTTTCTTTTTTTTTTTTCCCCCTCTATAAGCATGCTGGGCAGCGGGGA